CACACACAGCCAACTACCGCACTACACCGAGCGAATTAATGTACTTATAACCAATCAAGGTGCAGTTGCACGCTGCGTCACGGCCGGTACTGAGACTGGTTGCATGGACATGTGCGCGCTCAAGTTGCCCCGACTTGTGCAACTTCACGGTAAAAATTAAGCCAGCTCTGAAAAACTGCCTTTCTTAAATAAATTAGTTACAGAAACTCGTGGTCATAGCAACTGAGAGGAATTTGTTTAGCGAGAGTAGGTCCAAAGGGATCGAGTATTGAAGTTTTAGCCATCAAATATTCTCTTTTATCCACAAGCGGACCCTTACATTAGCCTTATATACGATAGGCAACGCACGGGCTCCCCCAAGCCTACAGACAAAGAGATGGCAGAAAGCAGCCAAGAAGAGCGAGTGCTTTGGTCTGACTGGAATAATCTTAGTTTTAGGGATGGTGCCCTATACTATAATTTTGGACCATCGTACTCCTTGCGAGTGGTATTACCAAGGTCCGCCGAGGAGCAAATTGTGACCGAACTGCATGTTAGTTTGGGCCACCTGGGACCAGCAAAAGGCGAACAAGCTTCCCGTAGGCGATACTGGTGGGTGGCCATGCGCGACGACATAAATGATATTTGCGCGTGTTGTCACCGGTATGGTGAGGTCAAGTCTCAACCTCACGCGGCCAGAGCACCACTACAATCCATGACAGCGGGATTCCCAAATGAACTCGTTGGCTTAGACCTTATGGGGCCCTTACCTCAGACGGATAGCAGTAACCGTTACATTTTGGTTATGGTTGACTACTTTACGAAGTGGACAAATGCGGTACCCCTCCGCAAGGCAGGCGCTCTGTCTGTAGCAAAATGATTTATGGCAGGATGGGTTGCTGATCACGGGGTCCCGTACCAAATTCATACTGATAGAGGTAGCCAATTTTGGAGTTGTGCAATTTGTTAGGCATTCACAGAAGCATATCATCTACAAGGGAATGGGCAAGTCGAATGAATTAACAGGACGCTCAAGATGCTCATAAGACTACAACTCGATGAATATGCCTTAAATCAGTGGGACGACGCCTTGCCAGCATGTCTACTAGCATATAGGTCAGCTGTCCACTCTTCCACTGGTCTAACCCCAGCAGTAATGACCTTCGGACATGAGTTACGGCTGCCTGCTGACGTTGTGGTACCCCCACCCCGAGAGCCGGATTACGTAGGACCTTCCGCTTACGTTGCTGAAGTACGACGCCAACTGCATTTTTCTTTCGACTGAGCCCGGTCACAGCTAGCCCTAGCTCACAGACGACAAAAGGACTATTATGATAAACGGGCCCATGGTACCCCTGTCGAGGAAGGTGACCTAGTGTGGATGGCTACGACGAATGCAGTGGGCGAAGGCAGGAAGTTGCAACATACGTGGGAAGGACTATATGTGGTCGACGCGGTCCTCAGTGACGCGACTTGTGTAATTCGTTGTCTAGACGAGTCAGGATCAAGGGTTTAGAGTTCACTTTAACAAGCTAAAACCCTATCTTTCGTCGATGGAGGAAGCTGATGACGAGTCATTAATGTATCGTGAACCACTCCCAGCAGACAACACGGTTGAGATAGCTGCAGTATTAGCGGATGAGAAGCTGAGGGCAGCTTCGGTTTTGGGGGGGCAGTGTGTAGCGGCGTGACAGATAGCAGCCATATTGGTGTTAATCCATTGGTCGAAGGTGAGAGGCACGCCATGGTGGCGACGTCATGTGACCGGGGGCGCGACTTCTGGCTGTATGGCGTCCCGCGGGCATTGAATGACGCGCCGGAGACTGAGAGCCAATCCGCTCACGAGTTTTCTGTCTCCATTGTAACGACGCGAAACGGACCAACGGGAGAACACGAAGAACAGAACAAGGATATATAGAAAGCCCATGTTTTCCCCATACGGACTGACCAGACTGTGGCCGTTTCTGTCTCAATAAAGTGTTCGTTTGGTCTCAGCCTCATTCTTACCATGGGCCCGAAACCTACAGTGGCGACGTCTGTGGGCGCAGACATATTGGACCACGCTGGCTTCAGCCAATCCTCTGTCTCTCTGTGTTCCAATGGCATGCGAGGAAGATAGGCAGCCAACCAGAGGAAGACACTAATGAGGAGCAGTATACATTGAGCGGCGTGGCCAGCGTGGTGGACTCGGATGGAAGGTGCCTGACTTGTGATTGGTCAATAAAGCCTATTCTGTTGTACCAGTCTTATTCCTATGAGGGCTCGGGTAATCTACAGTAGGGGCGGATCAGGGCGCAGGTATATTGGACCACGCTGGCCTCAGCCAGTCCTGTGTCTCTGCCTTTCTAATGGCATACGAGGAAGATAAGCAGCCAAACAGAGACAGACACGAATGAGGTTCAGTATATAATGAACGGCGTGGCCAGCGTGGTGGACTCAGATGGAAGGCGCCTGACGCGTGGTTTTGGCTTGTAATTGGTCAATATAGCCTGTTCTGTCGTACCAGTCTTCTTCCTATTTGGGCTCGGTTATTCTACAAGCGCCAAAAAATAGCCCGACCAGCTGTTTGGAGGGCCCACTTTTTTGAAAGATTGCTTTAAACGATAACAACCTAATGAATTTGAATTTTGCAAAATATAATACATGTTTTTTTGTTTACTGCAATACATTATTACCTAATTATGTTAATGTTTTTTACGTTACAATATTAAATGAATGCTAAAATAATATATTTAGGAGGATAAATTAACTACTTGCATAAATCGAGATTTCATGTTGTTTCAAAACTACAGACTTTGAAGACAATGGCCTTTAAAGGTCTTTATGCTTTTATAAAGTAATTTCACTCTACGCATATCTGTCAATTCACAATTCTAAAATGCTCTTTTAAATATATTTTTGGATTTATTCTGCCCAGTAAAAAAATATCATCATTGTCTTCTTTTAATAGCATGAGAACATAGGCGTAAAGGTCCTGATATTGAGCAAAATGAATCCAATATAATTTTTTTGTTTTGTTGCAAGAATTTTCAGTTATTTTAAAGGGAATTTTTACTTACATAATTTCCAGGCCCATAGTACGATCTAACGAATGAGTTTAATCAACGTCAACTGGATTTTCGGAGTGTAATATTTGCAAGTTGTTTGATTTTAGAAAAGAAGCGGTATACACGATAAGAGAATTACTCACATTGACAGAAAACCTTTGCCATATTTTTTATTGACTTCATTTCATGAGATTTCGACGACTTGCACTAATTCAATTTAGTTACCTTTATAATGCTTATTTTATAAACTTTCTTAATCAAGTAAATGTTCCGAGATATCCCATTTGTTTTGCTAACCACGGTTTGTTATATAGAATAAATACTACTAAATTGGTAAGGTTACTCAGGTGTTTTATTTCAAAATTAACTCACAATTGAATTCTTCAAGTCGAACTTTTTATAATTGATATAGCGCTTTTATTTATGAAGTTTGTAATAATCAAATACTGTCAACAATCCACTGCATTTATTTTCTCAACACAAGGACTTCGTATTGCTCCACAGAGTGTTCTTTTCCACCGTAGGGGATATATGCGCAGCCGTGTCCATTATGAATCTGTATGAAAAAAATACAATGGAAGATTAGACTGCAATTCTTTAAAAATTTTTAAATAATACTACGATTGGCAAGAAGCCGACTAGACATAAAAATATTACATCTTAATTGCACCCTATTGTACTAGTTCACAGAGGACTTAGTTAATAATCATTTTTCGAACAAGACATCCTAACTTCCAGGCAAAAACAACATGGTCAAAATTTAAAGCATGCTTTCCTAAAAATTCAAGTCATTGTTAGTATTTAGGTGTATGAACTTGCGACCTGAAACTGAATGTTGAAAAGTTCATACACTACATCCAACCCCATTCCGCTTAATACGAAAAGGATTAATAAAGATTCCGTGTCATTATTCTCAAACAGTTAAAAAAATAAATTTACACACCTTGCCTGCACACATCTCGTCTTCGATTTCCTGTCTGCAAACGTATAGTGGCTCCCCGTCACCTGCTATTCCACCAACAATGGCATTCTTGGGCACGTCTCCATTCGAATCGCCGACCCATTGGTAGCTTTTGAAACAGAATACGTGTGGTTAAGCATACCGTTTGCACAGGTGCCTGTTTTCAAGCCAATCGTTTCCCACAGACCGTTTCACCAACTAATGCGTTCATGAAATGGAACTGTTAGTGAGGCATTTGACTTTTAGGGGAGGTTCACCTGTTGTGAAATCTGTCCAACTATTTTTTTCGGAGAATACATGCGAAAGCAACTTGAATAACCGGATTATTGTCGAAAAAAATAAATGCTAGGTTTTCCAGGTCATGGATGATCTTAGCACTAGCAATTGATTCAAACCTGTGGGTGGACTGATCCTCGTTTCGCCTTGTTCAATTTAGTCGCGTGGTTTTGAAATGAGCTCATATTCTTGCTCACTTAGTTTTGTTAAACGGTCGCACAATGACTACAGGTTCTTAGGTTGTCAGGCATAAATTGATTTCTCAAAGCAAATTACCAACACATTGGTGCCAATTATTAACGTCTACTTGGTCGAATTGACAGCGGCAATGTGTACCTGTCGACTGCATACCCTACCAGCAACAACCGTCAATCACGTGAACTGA